TTTTCTAATGCCAGAGCTGTTCAGCAGGGCTCTGGGCATTGAACCAACATGCTCACTTTGAGAGGGGGCGTGCTTGTCATTAGTGATGACAAAACACACCCTCTCTGGCCTCGCCCCCTTCTTGGGGGGCCGCTCTAATTGAAAAATGCCCGGGCCTAATTTTTTTCCCAGTCCGGCCCTGGCTATATTTACCATGCTTGTGAAGTTTCAGGCTGCTGGTCTTGCAACAGTTAACAGACCACCACCTGTCTCCCCCCTGCACAGAATGGTAGGTAGCGTGGAAACAATAATTTCTAATCCTGTGGGTATGTGTCTGAGTGTGTCTGTGTATGCCTGTGTGCTTACCCATGTGTGATTGTTTTGTGTATGTATGTTGTTATGTATGTATATGTGTATGTTTTTTTTTAGGTTATATAACCCTTCGTAATAGTCCGCCATCATATTGTTTATGTCCTGTGGGTTATAAATTTTGTTTCCCTGCTCGTTGAAGAGGAAGGGTATTTTGGCATTCAGTTGTTTCTGTCGGAGTGTTGATGCCAGTGCCTTCCCTGCTTTATTTCCTTGTGTATATGAGTTGAGTTTTAGTCTATGCATGATGTTCATTGTCTTTAGTATATGTGTGTCATTGATTTGTTTCTGTATGTGCTGTATGTGTTGTTGTCTGTCCGGTGTTGGCTGTGAGATTTGGGCTCTAGTTTCATCTCTAAGGGATCTAAGTAGGTGTACATACTCGTGATTTGACTTGCGCTTGAGATAAGATGCTCTACTTATGAGATGTCCGCGTATAACTGCCTTATGAGCTTGCCACACAGTGGCAGGTGAGATATCAGGAGTGTTGTTTTGTGCAAAGTATGATATTATTTCTGAGTTTAGCTTGTGGCTAAATTCCGGATTTTGTAAAAGAGTGTCATTTAAACGCCAGGGTGTTGTTCCTCGGAAAGCAAAGTTATCTTTGATTGTTAGCCCGACAGCAGCGTGGTCCGACCAGGTTATGTTGCCGATATCGCTATGGGTTGCGTGTGGTAGTAAGTCACCAGTGATTAGTATGTAGTCAATCCTAGAGTATGTATGGTGGACAGACGAGTAGAATGTGAATTCCCGGTCGGTTGGGTGTTGGGTCCTCCAGATGTCATAGAGTCCATACTCCGAGAGTAGTCGTGTTAGTGCTGTTGTCTGTTTACATATGTTTTTATATCTAGGTGATGTATGTGGTAAGGTGGTGTCTAATTTGGGCTGTAGTACATGGTTGACGTCTCCGCATATAATTTGGGGAATGTGGGTCATGGTCGGCAGTTTCGCTAGTATCTTGTGGAGAAAATTTTTCTGGTTATCGTTTGGCCCGTAAAAACTCGCTATGAGATATTGTATGTTGTTTATGTTGCAATGCAGTATGATATATCTGCCCTGTGCATCTTTTTTTAGTTGTAGGAGTTCAAATGTTAGAGATTTATGAATGAGTATGGAGACTCCCCTAGATTTGGAGGAGTATGTTGAATGATATTGTGTTGGGTAGTCCCTGTAGGCGAATGTAGGGACTCTGTTGTGTACAAAGTGCGTCTCTTGCACACAAAGTATATCCGTTTTGTACTTTTGTGCTTCTTCCAGCAGTAGTCTGCGTTTATGCGGTGTATTTAACCCGCGGGTGTTAATTGATTGTACCTTCATCTACTAAATACGGATGTGGGATGATTGCTAGGCATTGAAGCATGCGATTTATTGGTTTGTTATTTGTGGCAGGATGTAGTGTCATGAGAGTTTGCGCTAGTGAGGTAAAGATTGTGTGATATTGCGATGTTATAATATGGAGTCCCATTTTTCGTTGCATGTTATATCTTGAGCGTGCGCTATCTAGTGCTGCGTTGGCATAGATGTGTCTTATGTTTTGGGTTGGTCTAATAGGGGTACTGACAAGGGGTTTAAAACTTGGTGGGGAAGGGATAACTATGTACATTATGTCTCTTTGCGAGACAAAGTGTGGAATTGCCACACCATGGGGGTTGGAGTTGGTTTTTATCTCCATCAGCGTGGTCCATGGGCTGTGTTTAGAAGTCACTGCATGATGTGTTATGTGTGGTTTGGTCGTATAGCTGGGTAGTACAATTATGGAGTTGGGTCGCTACCCACATGTACCTTTCTCTGTGAGCCTCCGTAGGGGATCCCCGTTCGGGGCAGAGAGCGGTCGCTTCAGGTTTGTCGCCCACCGGCCCTATGAGGGCGCCTCTACTTTTTGGGCATGCTTATCATCAGTTTGGGAATCACGGAAGTCGTCGTCCCATTGTAGGCCGCTGTGTGTGTAGCTGAGTCATAGCTAGTCAATGTGTTACGGCGTCTCTATACTCGCCGTTCGGGGAGGGGTCAGTTAGAGGGGACGCTCCTCACTAGTGGTGTGTCCATGTTAGATTGTGTTAATGTTTATAGAGAGTGTATCTCTATCTTGAAACCTAAACATTCTCATATCAATGGTTCGTTACATTACATCTTCCCAGTTCCTCCCCCTCCCCTCCTGGTTAATTCACATTATTACTTTAAAAAATCAAAATATGAAAATGAAACCCAGTTTAAGAGAAAAGTAAGAAATAAATCCAAGTCTCTCAATCTGTATGCCTCTGTGGGTCCCCATGTGGCCCATCACAGTGCCCGGACCTCCATGTGGGGGTGCCTGGAGTAGTGGTATTTGCTTACCCAAGATGGTCCCCCATCAGAGGTGCGGCCTCGGACCCAGGTCCCCCACATCGGTTCCGCTGCTCTGCATTGCTTCGTCACAGGGGATGTTGGGAGCTCCGGATCCAAGGTTCCATCAGACCCGCACAGAAGCCGTTCCCAGCCAGAGGTGCAGCCCCAGACCCGGCCCTCCCTCCCCGGCAACCCTGCTCTGCACCGCTTCGTCGCAGGGGGGTGGCGGAAGTCCCGGATCCGGCGGCCTGCAACACTCAGCGGGCTCAACCAGTCCTGGGCTCGGCCAAAGCAGGTTCGTGGTTATGTTAAGGAGAGTAGTTCTTTATAGGTTACGTTCATTATGGGTGTGAGTTGCATAGAGTAGTATGTCCAATTTTGCCGGTAGACCAGGAATCGTCCTGGATTAATGTTTCTTTTGGTTCATTGTCCATTCGGTTTTGAGTTTTCCGCTTGTCTTTGGTGTGTTCTGGGGGTCAGGTGTTATTTGTATGTCCCAGCCTTGTAATTTCTGTTCGCCATCTTCTGGTGTTTGTATCACCGTCGTTTTCCCTTCTTTTGTTATGATGAGTTTAGTGGGGAAACCCCACTTATAGCGAATGCCCTGTGCTCTCAGCGCTCCTGTTATCTGGGAGAACTCCTTCCTTCTCCGGAGTGTGGTTGCAGATAGGTCCGCGTATATCCGGACCGCTGCATATTCCTCCGGCGGCCTGGCTCGTGTTTTGCAGCTTCTGAGTATATGCTCTTTGACATGGAAATAGTGAGCTCTCAGTAACACATCTCTTGGGACCGTAGGGGGGAGATGGCGCGGTTTAGGGATGCGGTGCATCCTATCTATCAACAGCATATCTGTCGGTATTTCGGGTGCATGGGCTTTCAAGCATCCTCTAATGTAGGAAGGCAGGTTATCGTTGGTGATTTCTTCAGGGATTCCCCTTAGTCGGAGGTTGTTCCGGCGGGAACGGTCCTCCATATACGTTAGTTTCTCTTCCATATTCTTTAGTTGTGTGGATAGTTGTTCCACATTGGTGGCTAGGTCATTATGCGCCGTAGCGAATTCGTCATATTTATCCTCCATGGTTGTTGTCCTCCTTCCCAGTTCCTGGATATCTTTTTTCAAAGAATCCGCGGTATGTTGCCATGTAGTTAACAGCTTGGTTGATAGTATCTCCAGAGCAGCTGAGAGATCTGCCTTCGTGATTTGTGTGTCGTTTGTGTGCGTGCTGGATCTTGAGCACTGTTTGCCGTCATCGGATTCAGGATCCTCGGTGTCAATTGAGGCCTGTTCCGCCGGAGCTGAGGACGTTTTCTGACTGAAAAAATTGAGTTTTTCGGGTTTCGCCGAACCCCTTTTGTTTTTATGGTGTGACATCTTTATTGAGGGTCTCTGGATGCAGTTTCTGCTATTAGGATTATCGCAGATTAGGTGCCCATATGGCAGAGCAGATTTCTATGCGGCCATCTTGCTCCGCGTAGGCCACGCCCCCTTCATCTGTGTATGTTTTAAAGGAAACCAGTCATAGGTCTTTTAGTTATTTTTCTTAACAGATGAGATAAAAAAAAATGAACACAACAATGAATGTGTGTAGCTTAGCCCATTTGTAGTGATTGATATAAAATAAGCAGGCATTATATACAGGGGTGCAAAAAAAAAAGAAAATATATAGGAATTAATAAAGGTGTTTTGAGTCCATAATCAGACAGAACCATCCGGGGATGAAATGAGTCTTGAAGAGTTTCACAGGTTTTACACATTAAATCATATTATTTAATACAAACCCAAATAACAATGCATAATATATAATGACTTATTTTGTCATCTCCTAAACACACTCAGTTATTTCAAACATAAAACATCAAATGTGTGTAATATGAAACTTCACTAATCACTTTTCCTTTTCTAAACAGGCTACCTCTTAAAGCAGAGCCCCAGACATTCCTCCAATTATCCACTAATCTGGATATTTCTCCAAAAAATGAGAAGGGGAACAGATGGGAGCCATGGGAGCAGAATGGTGGGTTTGTGGAAGAAATTCTAAAATGTTGCCAACAAGGCACAGAGAGACGTCGCCTTCCCCCTTCTGTTACATCTAAATTTGCTGTGCTTGATAAAAGGTAAAAACTATATGATCACATTAACAAATTGCGATAATAACCTCTAGGCTGGGTGCTGGAAGAATTAGCCTGACCTTTTTTTGTTTTTGTGTTTTTGTTCAAAAGCTTTAGACATTATGATACCTATGTCAGATATAGAAAAGAGGAGAAGAAACCCAATGTACCATACTATATTCGGATGACTCCAAAAAAATCCAGCTTGTAAATTCGATATGCTCGACCAGCTAGGTAAGTGTATCATGAGACACAGAATGACCAACCATAATCCTATAAGGTCATCGAAATAAAACTGCAGTGTCCTTCGTAATCCAATACCCTGGTTCTCTCACTGGCTGTCTGTGTACACAGGAAACCAATGAGAGAAGAGCCACAGATAGAGAAAGTTGTCAATGATCATTCTGAGCCAACAAAACAAATCACTGTGGAGTACGACAGCAAGTGACTTACCATGCATAACCTAATTTCTATAGATATGTATTTTAAAATAAACAGAAGCTTTAATGGTACAAATTAGACTATTTACTGAAATTACTGTAACCAGAATGAAATGTATGCAACATAAATGATCTGATAGTATCACTATAAGCTGTGCAATAATGACTGATAGATAACGAGTGATAGAGTAGCTGATGGACTGAAAGTGAGAGGAAAGCTGAAGAGGTATAAGATAAGTGACAAAGAGGGCTGGAAAGGGAGGAAAGGACATAATTGTAACAACTGTATTTTAACTTTTTCTATTTTAATTGCAGGGACCCATTCTTATTCTCTAAGGTGAAGCCTAAATTACTTCCAAAACAATACAAAACAACTAAAAAGGCTGAAATCAAAAATTATTGTGCAGAGTGTCATAAACAGGATAATATTCTACAGCTTGAACCTGTCACAAGTCTAGAGGATATTCCTTATAAGCCTTCTACGGACAGGTAAGTAGACAGTTGGTGCAGGTATATTAGATGGGGTTATTGGAAGATGGGGATCAGAGTTCGAAAGAGATTAGAATGAAGGATGGTTTGTTAATGGGCATAATTTCTGTAAATAACAGAACTTGCTGTAGATTTAATAATGTTATCTTTAAATGAATGATCGTAATCTAAGAGGTAAAATGCTTAAAACTGAATTTGAGTTACACTTTATAGCTATTTTTCTAAACAGATGAGATAAAAAAAATCCATGAATGTCTGCAGCCTAGCTCATTTGTAGTGATGGAATTTGAAATAAAATAAGCAGGCATGATATACAGGGGTGTAAAAAAACAAGTAAAATATATTGGCATTAAAGGGACACTATAGACACCAGGCCGACTACAGCTTAATGCAGTGGTTCTGGTGTCTATAGTCTGTCCCTGAATGTTTTTTAATGTAAAAAGATGTGTTTACATTGCTCCCTAGGGACACTTACAGTGGCAGTCACTCAGACAGCCACTATAGTTGCTTCCTGTGGCAGTGCTGCAGAGTGTGCAGCACTGACATTCAGCGTCTCCACGCTCTGCATGAAGACACTGAACATTCCTCTTCAAGATGCATCAATTTATGATTGGCCAAGGCAGCGTTGCCTCCGCCCCAAGCATGCCTTCTTGGCTGGGATCATTAAAACTGACTAACTCAGTCAATCCAATGCTTTCTAAAGGTAAAGCATTGGATTGGCTGAAATCATCAATTCTGTTTGTCAGCCAAGGAGGCAGTTTAGGGATGGAGCCAGACGTGAGGAGCCCCGTGTGGCGCTGGAAAAAGGTGAGTTTTAACCCTTTTACTTCCTTGACAGGGGGGCTGAGGCACTAAATAGTGATATTAGAACTATACTGTCAGGAATACATATTTGTGTTTCAGACACAATAATGCCCCTTTATTAAATGTGTTTTGAGACCCCGAATAGACAGCACCATCCTGGGATGAAATGCAGGATGTAATTAGTCCAGACGTGTCAAAGGTTTTACACATCAAATTTAATTATTTAATTATTACAATACAACCCAAAAAGCAATGCATAATATCTAATGGCTTCTTGTATCATCTCCTAAACACACTCTGTTATACCAGAAATATAACATCAAATTATTAATGTCCTTTTTGTTTTTTGTGTGTTTTTCTTTAGATATTATTATAACTATGTCAGATATGGAAAAGAGAAGATTTCCGATGTACCATACTATATTCGGGTGACTCCAAGAGAAACTAACCAACTAATGACATATGCTCGGCCACCTAGGTAAGTGTATTCTGAGACACAGAACCATAATCCTATGATTTTATCCAAATAAACCTCCAGTGTCCTCAGTAAGCCAATACCTTGTCTGTGTACACAGGAAATCAATGAGAGAAGAACCACAGATGGAGAAAGATGTCAATGCTCTTTCTGAGCCAACATCACAAATCTCAAATTGGAATATTTAATCCTTACAATATGACCCAAATAATAACCTATAATATATAATGGCTTCTTCTATCATTTCCTAAACACACTCAGTTATATCAGAAATATAACATCAAATGTGTGAAATATGAAACACCAATAATCACTCTTTCTTTCCTACACAGGCTACCTCTTAAAGCAGAGCCCCAGACACTCCCCCAGATATCACCTAATCTGGAAATCTCTCCTGATCCTGAGAAAGGGAAGAGATCGGAGCCACGGGAACAGAATGAGGGGTTTGTGGAAGAAAGTCTAAAATGTTGTCAAAAAAGCACAAAAATACTTTGCCTTCCCCCTTCTGTCACATTTAAATTTGCTGTGCTTGATGAAAGGTAAATACTGTGTAATCACATTAATCAAAGGGGAGAGATCTTTATTTTTTTTCTATTGTTGATGTTTGTTTTTACAAATTGAGATTTAAGCCTCTCCACTGGGTGCTGGAAGAATTAGCCTGACCTTTTTTTTTGTGTGTGTGTTTTTCTTTAAAAGCTTTATACATTATAATAACTATGTCAGATATCGAAAAGAGGAGAAGATTCCCGATGTACCATACTATATTCGGGTGACTCCAAGGGAAACCAACAAACTAATGACATGCTCAGCCACCTAGGTAAGTGTTTAATGAGACACATAATGACTGACTCCTATAAGGTAATCCAAATACAACTGCAGTAAGCCAATACCTTGGTTCTCTCACTGGCTGTCTGTGTACACAGGAAACCAACGAGAGAAGAACCACAGATAGAGAAAGATGTCAATGCTCTTTCTGGTACAAAACAAACTATTTACTGGAATTACTGTAACCAGAATGTAATGTATGTAACATAAATGTGATAATGTCACTATAAGCTGTACAATGTCACTATAAGCTGTACAATTCTTCATAAAAGCGTATCACTTAAACTGTTAATAGCTCCCGACTGATTCCTCTTCTGCAACTATCACTAGTCTAATACTATCCTTACCTTTTGTGTCATTTTACCCCACTCCCTCTTGCATGTAAGCTCATTGAGCAGGGCCCTCAACCCCTCTGTTCCTGTGTGTCCAACTTGTCTGGTTACAACTACATGTCTGTTCGTCCACCTACTGTAAAGCGCTGCGGAATTTGATGGCGCTCTATAAATATCATAATAATAATAATAATAATACAATAATGACTGATAGATATTGAGTGATAAGATAGCTGACGGACTGAAAGTGAGAGGAAAGCTGAAGAGGAATAAGATAAGTGACAAACTTGGCTGATGGATGGAAAGTTAGAAAAGGACATAATTGTTACAACTGTATTTTAACTTTTCCTATTTTTGAATTGCAGGGACACATACATGTTCTCTAGGGTAAAGCCTACATTACGTCCAAAACAATATAAAACAACTTAAAAGGATACAAATGTCCAAGGAAAAGAAGTAGACAAAAAAGAACTGGAAAATGAAAAAAAGTATTCTGCAGAGTATTGTAAACACAATATTATTCTACAGCCTGAACCTGTCACAAGTCTAGAGGATATTCCCTGTCACTTGCTGCAGGCTAGGTCTCTAGAGCCTACAGAGGTTATCACACATCTAAAAGACAACACTTCTCTAGAATGCCCTGTTTCTACTATCGAACCTCATACAAGTGGATTGACAAAGGAGTTGCAAGTAAACCTTGGTCAGCCACAGTCCACTTTAGATTGTCCAACTGAGCTTGCAAATCTAGATTCTCAGAACCCAGTTACAGCTATTTTACTACAGCCTATGTCTCTAGAGCCTACAGAGGTTATCACACATCTAGAAGACAACACTTCTCTAGAATGCCCTGTTTCTACTATCAAAACCTCATACAAGTGGATTGACAGAGGAGTTGCCAGTAAACTTTGGTCAGTCACAGTACACTTTGGATTTTCAACCAGAGCCTACAAATCTAGAATCTCGGGAGGCTGTCAAAGATCAAGATCCAGTGGGCCCAGTTTGTCCTGCCTAATCAGGCACTGGTGAAATGTTAGAGGAGCTACCAGTAAGCTCTGACACTGTGATTTTTCAGTCTGAGACAACTTTGGATTGTCCCACTGTTCAGCCAGAGGAGTTGCTTCTAATCAAGAGGGCACCCCTGAGCAGGAACAAACTGAGATAAAGAATAATCAGCCAGGAACACATGCGAGTCTGAGCAGTGACCATGAAGAGCAGCCATTGCCAGAAGACAAAGAAAAAGAACCGCCTGGTGAGGCTGATATAGTTTGAAAGAAAAGCCAAGACCTTGCACTACCTGTCCTCCAAGAGAAGACAAATATTAAAACAAAGGTAGAAAGGATACACTATGACAGGGATTCTTTACTTAAATAAAATCTATCACACAGGAGCCAAAGGACTTGTCTGAAATTGCTAAACTATACCAAGCTATGCTCATTAGAACTCACCTTCGACCAGCAGATCCATCACGATAGACCAGCAGGAATCATGCACCTCTAACTGCAAAGTTCTTCCACCCTGCTAAGGATAATTACAGACTGCCACCTGGAATGGCCAAATGAGGTCTCAGCAAGCTCCTGGTAAGGAACCTCACAAAATCCTTCAAGTAAGTGAAAATGTAAAACAGCATACATGTAAAAATGCTTGGAAACCTCCCATGAAAAGACCAATTGAAGATCCCAAAAGTGCCAAGATGTAAGAATCAGTTCGCAAAGTTCGCAGTATTCTAAATAAAATCACACCTCAGACATTCCAACACTTAATCAAGCAGGTAAAATACCTATCTATACAGACAGAGTATCAACTGAAAGGTGTTGTAAAAGTCATTTTTGAAAAAGCAATAGTGGAGTCACATTTCGCAGTTGTATACGCAAATGTGCAACTGGCTAAGGATGCTTGAGGTCCCAACAGAAGACAACCCTGAAGAAAGCATCACGCTCCGTAGCTGCTAATAAGATTCTGCCAGAAGGAGTTTGAGAGAGGAGAAAATGGGAATGAAAAAACTGAGAAACTGCAAAAGGAACTGGATGCAGCCACGCTACCGAGAGAAAAGACCAGACTAAAGGAGGAATTGAGTGAAGCCTGTAATAAAGGATGCAGGCGATACCAAGGGAATATCAAATTTATTGGGGAGCTATTTAAATTATAATTGCTCTCTGAAGACACCATGAAAGATTGCCTTATGAAACTAATGAACATGAACAGCGAGAAGTCCATGGAATGCATCTGCCTTTTGCTCACTACAATTGGAAAATCCTTGGAAAATGGACAATGTCGCTTGGACAACTATATCAGCAACATTGACAACTTTATTAAAAACCGGAAAACATCTTCGCGGATTCGATTTTTAGTGCAGGATGTACTGGAATTAAGAAGAAATAACTGGGTACCTCGACATAAACCTCAGGGACCGAAAACAATAGATCAAATCCATAAAGAGGTAGAACTGGAATCTGGACGAAAAGAGCAGTGAAACAAAAAAAACAAAAAAACTAAACACTACTCATTGCAAGGACATATGGATAAACACAATGTATGCACAGGGACAAGGCTGCAGATTCATTCACATAAATACATTCAAAATCATTCAAGCAGCGACAACAACTTTTATGCCCAAAGAAACACATATGCACAAGCACAGACATTTATTCAAAGAGAAATTCAGACAATCATGCAAAGTCAAACACATACAGTCATACACTGCCCATGTTATGAAACAAACACATTAATGGTGGCATAAAAACATGATTTAGAATTGCACTTGGTAGTTTCATCATTGCCAAATAAAATACCCAGTGAAACTCACATTAAAGGACCACTCTAGGCACCCAGACCACTTCAGCTTAATGAAGTGTTCTGGGTGCCAGGTCCCTCTATGATTAACCCATTTTTTTTATAAACATAGCAGTTTCAGAGAAACTGCTATGTTTATAAATGGGTTAATCCAGCCTCTAAAGCCTCTAGTGGCTGTCTCATTGACAGCCGCTAGAGGTGTTTGCGTGCGTCTCACTGTGAAAATCACAGTGAGTGCCCTCAGGGCACTATAGTGCCAGAAAAACGATTATGTTTTCCTGGCACTATAGTGGTCCTTTAACAACATGCATGGTTCACTAGCCTGAACCTGCAGGATTCACACTTGTCAGGACCACCATTGTTTAACTAGACATATATTTTGTATATTGTTAATTTTATTAAAACAATAAAGTCTTTTTTTTAAATTTACTCTTTTATACTGATGTCGGTTTGTTCTTTGGAGTGTTTTATTTCTGTGGCCGTTGCTAGGTTTCAAATATACCCATAGATTCTGTCCATACTATATCTCACAGACACCATCCTGAGGCCTCATCCCTTGGTTTCTCTGCAGCTATATAGTACACACTCCCTTAAAGGAATCCTCCAAGCACCAGCAGTCTGTAGTGGTTATAGTGCCCAGAGTGCCCTGCTGCACTCACATGATAAGTAGTCAAACTTTTTGAGACAGTGAACATCCACTTGTGGCCCAGAAGCTCCTGGATTGAGCTAAACCAGTGGTCCAGGGCTCAGCTGAAAGAGCTCAGCTGACTCCCTCAGCCAGCGAGCTTAGAAAAGAGGAGTTAATGGAAGCTCCAAACTGTATAAAATGCTGCAAATGTTCCTTTAAACCCTTTCAGGGCTGGGGTATAAATAGTGAATTGTTTTGGAGCAAATGAATGCACGGCATATCTCAGTCAGTGAAATGGTTAAGCTGTGCCGGCTGTTGAACTATGTCTCCTTTGTTGTAGTCCATTGGAAATGAATATTACGGAGTTAAATTATTAATTTACTGTTCTTAAAACCAAGACACATATTTGATGAACATTTTCAGGGTTATTTACTATAGTACGACTTTAAAGCAAATTTCAATTTAAGGACAAAATAGCCAAATTGGAAGCATAGCTGACTTGGAGAATGTTTCCAATTCAGCTTTTTGGCCTCAAATGTGAAATTCACTTTGAATTCCCAGTAATTCTCATTTTAATGCATATCTCTGAAAGGATCCATACTCACTGGCTGGCTGAGAACCATCTGTGTTTTATGAAATTACTATCACAGCAAGTTGCCACAGGCGTATTTGGAGAAGCAATGCAAATGATTGGGGAACTATGCGTCTAATAGCAATCACCAAGTTCAATAGTGCTATACAACTAAATAAATGTAAAAGTTAGAGCCGCCCATCAGGGGATTTAACTAAGAGCATGTTGACACTTTTAATTCAACCATTGTATCAATAATCTCTGCCAGAACTGCGTGTTATATAGTTAGCACTTTGTGCTTTCCACAGAGATATTTCAATTCAAGATGAATTTCACAGACCTACTGTGTACCATTACAGTAAATACTGCAGATTTGTATTTTTGGGAAGTTATAGGGTTATATTAGGGTTGTGTCATTTTCAGTGTTGCAATTTTGACGATTTGCTTTAATGAGCCCACGTGATTTTTTATTTTTAGACAAAATTACATTCCCAAACTGTACTTTATCCCCATTGTGGCATTTTCAAGACAAACTGGGCGATTTCATGTGTGTAATGGTATTTATTAATTAATGACTTTTTGTCATAAAAAAAAGCATAATGAGCTTAATGCTTTAGACGCACCACTAGATGTCAGTAAAGCATATTTAGTGTAATGCTTTGGGGGCACCACTAGGGGGAGTGTGTAGGAAGACCTGTGCTTCTGGCAGTGACATCACAGGCCAGCCTACTTACACTGAATAAAACCCAGATGTTAGGAGAAGCAAGCTCTCTGTTTGCCTGTACCTGACTGATCATGTAGCACCAGCTCTGACTTAGCCCCAGCCCTTTGGCTGGGGCCTTGTAAGTAATATGTTTGTATTGTAACAGTTAGCAATTGTAATAGCCTTAGCAACCAATAGTGTTTTGTGTAGTATTGTATTGTATAATTATTGAAATTGACATTCCGCTAGCATCTGTTTATTTATTATAGTTATATTAAATATACATTTAATATTACAACGTTTTGTGTATTTTCTATCCACATATTCGACCATAATACCATGAATTATAAAAATATTAATGTTGTTCCGTATTGCTTAATTATTATGTATTAAGAGATTAATATTCATATTTAGGTCACACCACAACATTTGGCGTAGTCGGCAGGATTATGCTTGAATATTGGGGAAAATATAAATGTTATGCATTTTGCTTAAATCATACTGTAAATTGTCTGTCTGTATACAAATGAATAAATGAATGATGATTTGGTTTTAATGGAATGAATGCAGATAGCAGATAGGGATTAGATATTTGTTTTTTAAGGTATCTCTTGTTGTAGAACATAGTGATGAATTATTGTGTTGCTTGTTACGTTTTACCAACCTTTGGTCATTTTTATATATAAAACAAAAAACTATTTTACTTTTTGTCTGACCATGTGGATTTTAATCCACCATTGACCACATGGTGTGAATGAGTTGAGGCCTAGTTTCATTGTTTGCTACCATTTGCATAGGAAAAGACTTTTCACTAAACTAGTTCACCAGGTTTTATTGCTAAATTTGACCCTGTTTGTGTACTAATTTACATTTGTTTGGCATTCATGGATTTGTCTAGTTGAAAAGAGATTTGGACAAAATGTATTAAATTAGTAGTTAAGAAAAAGATACGTTTAGTAAAGCAGATTCAGTGAATAATAGATTTATGTGTGCGTATACACAGAATATTAGTATAAATATATATGATTTTGACTCATGAAGGAGAGACCACCTTTTTAACAGCTGTGTGACCATGCTTTTCAGCTACAGCTGGGGGAGAATTTGTCCTTGTTGGGGGTGGGTAGTCTTGCCTGTATGAGAAAAAATAAACTGCATTGTTTTGTAAATGTAATTGCCTAAGCTAATCAATTTGTGGAGTGTTTTTCAGCTTTATTATCCAGGACTAAGGAATTACTGGACATATGCAGGAACTGGTAACAAATGAACTGAAAAAATGGTAAAATAATTCCTTTGTCCTATTTAGTCTGAATATTTTAACAAGTTAGCATTTTTAACAAAGTAAGTGTAGGGGCTCAGATTAAGATTTATATTATTTTAGAAGCCATCTATAACTGATTTTAATATTTCCATGCTTTGAATTAGGGTGTATCTGCCTAGCGGGTGAACCTCCATAACGTGGGCTGTGATTTTAGTTACAGTAGCGGGTGGGGAACCTGAGCTAGGGGGTATTTAAACGTGTCCGGATAAGGGGGAGCATACCCAATAGTTGTTGTGCAGTTCTATCCTGTATTATTATTTGAAACCCTGTATTACTTATAAGTAGCGTTTTGTAACTTATTTGTAATTGTTTATATATATTGCTCTGGGAAAGGGATAGGCAAAATCTCTGAGAGACCAGGAAATATATTTAAAAAAGGGCGTATTACACTAGTGGTAGGGTGGCCTATCATGACCATAGAGACCCTTGGTGACTAGTTTTTGTTGTATATTGCCCTGGGAAGGGGATACGCTATTTAATAGAAATTCCTGAGAGACCAGGAAATATACAATAAGTGATACGTGAATGTACTGGTTAAATTGCAGACATATTGGCCCAGAACCTTTAATCGAGCCGGAAAAGAGGCTGCTGTATGTTTGCTCCTCTATAATTTTGCGGGGGCGGTCACCCCCATGCGGAAAGCCACTGCCATCACAGGGTGGTTAGTTGTGCAGGCCCTTAGCCGCGAGGTGCAAGCATGTCCGTGGAAAGGCTAGAAATTAATAGGGAGTCACTCATAGCTGTCAGAAGTGTTGAACTTTGAGACATATTGACCTATATCCTTTCAGAGGCGGAAGAGGTGTTGTGGTTCACTCCTCTATAATTTAACCAAAGGGTGGAAAGTTATTAAACATGTTTAAGTTGGCTAGAAATTTGTTATTTTAAGAGCCGAGTAGAAAAATTAAGAAAGTTACCTTGTTGAACAAATTGTTTATAAAATGAAAAGCTGAAGGAATGTGTTTACATGTCTGTGTGTGTATATATGTATATATGCTAAGTAAAGGATTTGGCAGTATACGCTATAAGTGACAAGGAAAAGTAATCCTGATCTGTTTTCTTACCTTTTTCAGATATAGCAGAAACCAGGGGTGGACATTGGAACACAGATAGAATATCAGATGGAGACCAGTGTTTAAATGTTGACCTTTGATGAGCTATTGAATGTTTTATTTTATTGTCTATTTAACATGTCTATGCTATGATTTTGTGCATACTATTCTCTTATTTCTAGTGATTGTATTGCAATTGAAACCCTTATGTATTATTGTTGTATGTATGTATGTATGCTTGCCTGGGAAAGGGGGGAATTGACCCATAGGGACCAGGGGGTATTTTTGTGTAAACCAAACTGGGGTGGGAGGGCTCTAACAAGGGAACCCCATTGTCCAGTAGGTGCTTGATTTGTGTCTGTGTAAAGTGCATGAGTGGTTGCAGTTCAAAAAACAAAAAAAAAAAATAAG